AGAAGGAAGCCATGCTGTGTCTTGTCAAAAGTCCCATGTACGTGAAACGGCATTGACAGGTAGAGACAAAAATCTGCCTCTTGAAATTTTTTTACTCGACCAACTATTTGCTGTTAAAAAGAGGAAACCTTTCAGCTGAGCAGAGAAGCACTTTACAATGATGTTCTTTGCTTATACTCACTGAAAGTGACAGATTAAGATAAACGAATTCGATGCCAGGGGCGGAGCGCCCCAGCTTGTGGAGACCCTCAGCCACAGTGTCTTCATCCAACACTCCATCAAACTGACCCTATAAAATACCAGAAAGGGGGGGGACAGAGAGAGGAATGGATTAAGGGGAGATTTATGAAACGAAATTCCACACTCCGTAGAATCTGGAGGCTGCTTGGGATGCAACTGGGAACAGAGTTTAATAAAAGTCCTCAATCAAATGCTGCTTTCAGTGCTGTATCACCCTACTGAGGCACTACACATTAGGAATAATGATGAATACAGCCCTCAAAACAGATAAATAGAAACATGTCACATACTCGCTCTATACATTTAAAAAGGGTCAATGGTTTTTTCTTGGGATTTTTTTTACCTTATGGTTTAAATGCACAGCTCTAAGCAGGACCTGTTTCCAGAGACGTTGAGCCATGAAACTCACATTGATTATGGATGTTAACATCTCAGCAAATCGGCACTAACATAACCCCAGTGTTGTACCCCAATATGCACATTATTGGAGGCCCTTTAAATTTGTTCAGCATGAGCAGCTAGCGCTACTCTTCAGAGAACAATCTTTGCCAAAGAGGGTACTTGACAGATGGCACTAATGAACCACTGCGTAGGTTTAATGAGAAAATAAGCCAATGGCTTGTGAAATTCCTATGAGCTTGGAGAAGTCACAAAACAATTGCTAATCTAGGGACCAAGATAAATAATGTTTCAAATGATAATCATCTAAATCATGGCACCTACACATTATAGCAATGGTGACTACAGATGCGTTTCCACTAGGTAAAAGTATGAGGTGATAATGCTATTGCAGTGGACACTTTAGAGCCCAGCAGAGCAAGGAGAAAAAAATCCACTTGGGTCCAGGGGCTTATTGAATCTCAGGGCTGGGCATATAAACATGGAACGGGTTTAATTTGGCCATCCATGTGCCAGCTTATCCTTAGTCTTTATATAGCAAGGAGAGAGAGGGGCAACCCAGAACTATCCTAGACACCACGGGGATGGAAGGGGCCCTAAAAAAAAGACAGAAATGAGAGGTGAGGGGAAACAGACCAAACCAGCCTTTCCCCTCTTTGGGAAAATGAGAAATCACTACCTGGTGACCCCATCGATTCCCCCTTCTTTCCCCCACAACTACACTGAGTGACGAGCGGGGAAAGGGCTCTTCCCTCACAAGCACACCCCTCCCCAAACAGCTGGGGGGCACTGAGCTGAACCTCTGTGTGCTGCGACTCCTCTTCCTCTTCATCCTCCTCCTCCTGCTTGTCCTCTTGGTGAGGCAGGCTGAGCTGCGGCTCCGCCCAGGCTGGGCCTGTCCTGGGGTAGCTCCCCAGGGATCCCCTGGGAGAGATGTTGCAGGAGCCCATGAGAAGGGGGAAGCAGCTCACCGAGGCCGCCACCTCCCCCCTTCTCCTCGAGCCCCGCCATGAGCTGTAATAAGAAGGGAGGACGCGGAGGGAGCTGCGCTATCGGTGCTTCGCACTCGAGCACCGCCCCGTCACCCCTCCGACCAGGCCGCCGCCATCTTGTTTGCTCTCCTGTTGTCGTGGAGACGGGAGAAGCTCTACCCCCCCGCGGGGACGGGGATTCGCGCCAGCCCGACAGCCAGCCAATAGCAAAGCGGCTGGTGGAGCGGTGCAGGATGGGAGTTGTAGTTCCCGGCATAGGGGCCGCCAGGCCGCAGAGCATGTTGGGAGTTGTAGTCCGCTTCACAGGCGGGCTCCACAGGCGGGTTCCACAGGCGGTGGCACCCGGCTCGCTGAGATGCTTGCGTGGCTGAAGGCACCGCAGCCGCCCCTCATGCAGCACATCACCCTTTCTCTTCTTCCCCACACTTCCACAGCAGGGCTCTGCCTCCATTTATGTGTTCCAGATCTGGACACAAAGCCAATACTGTCACACAAATAATCATCAGGGCACCCTTATCCAGCCACAAAGCCCCAGGCCAAAATGGACTCTGTGCAAGATGGTGGCTTTGCTCAGCAGCACCGTAACGAGAGTAAGGGCCGTGCGGAGTCTGTGGCCCTGACTTCCAGCCAGCTCTTTTAGTCCCAGGCCAGTCCAGGTTATCCTAGTTTTTGTCTGGGAGGACTGGTGACATTGATAATTCATATTGGGAGTCTCAGCCATCTGCTGGGGTGAGGGTGGGGCTGTTTGAAATGGTGAAGTAATGTGCTTCTTTAAGAAAAAAAAGTACAGTTTCAAAACTGGTGGAAAAAAAAATCTATATATTTTTTCTGGAAACATTTGGGAAATAATGAGCACTCAGGCTGTCACAGTGGGGAGAAGTAAAATGACAGCTTTTGAAATGTCTTTGCTTTTTGTCTTGTTTTTTTTATCACCACAGCCTGACTGGCTTCTGCGGTCGATTTTGGATCCGTCTTGGCACGCAGTGCGCCCATGGGTGATGGCTGCTAGAGAGGGCACCGGTGCTGCAAACTCTCCAGGACAACAGTTTTGTTTAGCCCTGCAAATCACTGCTGCACTGTGTTAAAAATTACTGATTTGTTAGCATTCCTCTTTGAGGAAATAGTAAGCTCATCACACCACATTTCAGAGGAAGACATAAAAATCCCTAATCGTAGCAAACAAGAAGCTTTGGGCCACAAAAAATGTCTTACAGATACCAATCTGCTCTTAATATAAGTTTTAAGCAAGGACACTGAAGAGTTTTGTGCAAGCATGGTTCATGTAAGTTGTGCACAGGAACTGCTTGGCTCCCGCCATGCCCTGTGGCAGTCAGTTCCACAAGTTCATTAGTGCAGAGAGAAAAAAAAAGAAAAATTATTTGGTTTCCCTCATTTTAGGCCTCCCCTGTTCCCAGTCCATCATCTACTCTTCTTCTTACATTGCAGAACAGGGTAAAATTGAGAAAGTAAAGGAGGGGAGGAACAGAAGATCTGCCAGGATGACTCCAAATTCAGGTCCCTGGCAAATAGACATGGGGAGAGCACTGCTTCTCATGGTAAAACAATTTAATGTTGGGGAAAAGGTATTCCTGTCAACTGCAGTGGGTCTCCAACATGGGTCACGACAGCCAGGTGAGCCTTGAGAGTTTTGTAATTCTGGGTTTCAATGTCACATAATTGCCTTCTCTGTGTTCGCAAAAAATGACGCCCTGTCTTTGACTGCAATGGCTATTGCTTAAAAAAAAATAAAAAGAGGAAGATATAAAAACTCCTTATGGACATTATCCATTGCCTTTACCTTTGTGCTTCAGGGAAACATTATGATAACTGCAATAAAGCTACCCCAAATTACCTTCCTTCATTATCTCGCTGGCCATAAATGTTAAAACCCTTAATGAGATTTACTCCTTTTCCACTAAGCACCCCGTGCCTCCCCCACAGCCCTCTGGGCAAAGAGGCTGCTGTGCAAAGGATCTTCTCCAGATGGTGCAGGTCTGGGACTGTGTTCAGGGCTGGGCAGCAAAGGCAGTGGCTGGAAAGCTCGGGAAAATCCTGGAAGAGAAGGAGGGATCTGATCTGGGAGTAGGTTTGGGGAGGCTTTTGGCTTTGTTGTGATCTAGGAGAACAATTTCTGAATTATCAAAGCCAAGTAGGAGCTGCTTGAGGACAGCAGGGCTGCTGTAGCTGTTTCAAGCTTTCATGGTATCTAGGATCATAGAATCATAGAATCGTTAAGGTTGGAAAAGACCCTTAAGATCATCGAGTCCAACTGTTAACCCAGCACTGCCAAGCCCACCACTAAACCATGTCCCTCAGCACCACATCTCCCCGGCTTTTAATACGCCCAGGGACGGAGACTCAACCCTTGCCCTGGGCAGCTCAGCCTCCTCTTCTCCAGGCTGAGCACCCCCAGCTCCCCCAGCCGCTCCTCCCCAGCCTTGGGCTCCAGCCCCTGCCCCAGCCTCGCTGCCCTGCTCTGGCCACGCTCCAGCCCCTCCATGGCCGCCTTGGGGTGAGGGGCCCAACACTGAACACAAGGATATTCTCTTTCTCAAAACCATGCTGTTTTATAGTTACATCTGCAGATTTCGCTTTCTGCAAACAGGGAAATTCACTTTTTGATGTGAACCCTGCACTCTCCGACTGCAGGGTTATCAGCGCCTGCTTCCCTCCCGCGCTGGGACTCCCTGTGACCCCAGGACGTGGCTGTCAGCCACCCCGTACCCTCCTGGCAGCCCAACGCCACAGTGCATGGGTGAAACAACGGCTGCCCATCCCCGTCACACACCTGCAGTGTCACACATCGGGCTGCAAATGGCACAGGAGGGCTGAACCCCACCTGACCAGTCAGTCTGCTCTGGCTGCCATCCCCGCACAACAAGCACAGAAGCACCATCAGCTGGGTGGGCTGGAACACAGAGAGCAAATGCTGAGGCCATACAAACATCCCCAGTGCTCACGGCAGACCTGAAACACTGGCTGCTTCATGGCGCCTTACGCTGCACAGACCTGGGGAAGGGTGAGGAAGCTGGGGCAGGGGCTGGAGCCCAAGGCTGGGGAGGAGCGGCTGGGGGAGCTGGGGGTGCTCAGCCTGGAGAAGAGGAGGCTGAGGGGAGCCCTCATCGCTCTCTGCAACTGCCTGAAAGGAGGCTGGAGCCGGGGGGGTCGGTCTCTTCTCCCCAGGAACAAGCGATGGGACGAGAGGGAACGGCCTCAAGCTGCGCCAGGGCAGGTTTGG